GCAAGACATTACATTACATAGACATTTTGTCCAGGCAGGACAGACGTTTTAAATCTCTGTTAAAAGTTTCTTATCAAACTCTATGGAGTGAGTTTACGTGAAATCTGTTGTATCATGAAATTATGCACTTTTTTTTTAGCTTAGTTAGTCAATTTAAATACTTTGCAAAACTTTTTACTTGTTTTTCCTCTTATTTTAGGGTTTCAGAAGCAGTGACGTTGTCGACGCCAGCTTCTTTTTCGTCCGTCGTTAACGTTTCACAATTATCTGAGCGAAGACTGCATTAATTGATGAAGTTTCAATACTAAATTCAGGTATGTCAAAGAAGCCGATTCAACAGAAGTTCGTGTGGAAAAAACATGAAATCAAGGTTGACGTAATTTTTCATACGCAGTAGATTTTTGCTCTATTTATTTATTTTTTTTTTGTGCGCCTAGTGCAGTTTGAATAAGATACACACGAGTAATTCAGCTTTTAAAGACCGAGGAAATCTGTGAAAAATAATCTACAAAAGCTCGTGAATATTTCAAAGTAGACAAATATTGACAATAGAGGATAAGTCTTCGAGCTCTGGTTTTGTCTCATTACTTATTTTTGTATTAAAGCTCGGATAAAACGCGCGCTGTAATTGGTTTGAAGAGCGTGCTCTATCAGAGTACAAAGCATAGAGAGCTGAGCTAAAGTTGTCACGCCATCTGCCAAATTGTACTTTGTCCGACCTTTTCGGGGACCTCTCTTTAACTTTTTTTCGTCAGTTGAAAGTGAAATTTCGGAACAAGCGAGCCGGTAAGTAGCAACAGAAGAACTGAAAAAAAGTTGGAGCATAGAAAGCAGAAACGAAAATCCTCAAAGAGAAAACGAAATGGAAATGCCGAAGGTTTTCACGCTCAGTTAGATTGCCAGGTTGCGTCGGGTAATAAAACTCAAACAGAGCTAACCTTTTGAAATGGCAAACCTTTTGAAATTCATGCTAATCATGAGTTGGGTTTTGTTTGACATCGTCAGGGTTTTGTTTGTTTCTTTAAGTTGATTGTGCACTGGATCATTCATTGCTTGCTTATACTCATCTACTGGTGAATATTAACAATAGCGCCAAATTTTTGTCTCTCTCAGGCGCATTGTAGCAAAGATCTTGCGCTGGCACTCTTCCGCTTTAATCGCGCTGACAGACTCTACATTAAGAAAATAATCATCTGAATCGTCGGACAATTCGTCTACTCCGTGAACTTGTTTGCTTTTTGCAGGCTTTGTGCACACCTACGATCTCGGGAAGTGGTTTACGGAGAACCACAATCTTAACGGTGTTTCTGCCAAGCTGCACATAACTCTCATTTTCTTGCGTGAATCTTTAGGCAGAACTTGCATTTGATTTGAGGAGGATCCGAGTCGCGCTGTCCCGAGTCGGAGCCTTTATTACGTGGGACGTTGCTTCGCCACGAGCTGTTAGTGTTACTTCGCCAGTGTTACTTCGCTGAGGGCTTCTCGACGTATTAACAGTATTTATTTAATCACGTGCTCTTTCTTTAAATTGCTTCGATGTTTCATTTGCTCGACAACTATTGATGCATTTATCTAGAGTCAATTTGGGCTCAGCAATCAATTTATTTCGGGTTGCGGGATTTATTATTCCTAGGACTATGCGATCTCTCGAGAGATTATCTCTCAGTTCTCCAATGCAACTTTATATGTCTTCGCCAAAGAGCGTGGCGAGGTCGAATAGATATCAAATGACTCACCTCGTTGTTGGTCAAGTTTATTGAACACATACCGTTCGTACGTTTCGTACGTCTCCACGCCACAGTATTCTTCTGGCAGCTGCAGTACTACATCGATATCTTCTTTCTCTTCTTCAGTCGCAAACGTCCAATACATCAGGCTCGATACACGTTAGCAACGCGGCTACGCGGAGTTGTTTGCTTTGTGTATTTAGTCTAAAAGCTGTCTCATAATTTACCCATAGGCGTTTGAACTTTTTTCAGTTGGCTTGTGATACTCTCCAAAGGTATCTTAACTCGAAATAGAAATAATCAGATGTGAATTCGCTTCAGCCTTTGGATCAGCAATCAGCAAATAGAATATGAAAATAATTCACTATTGCTCAGGTCAAATTTCTTATCAATCGTTACATTCCAGAATTAAATTACGGTTTTAATCACTTCTCCCAAAAATTTTATATGATGCGCAGTTCGTCATCATTATCCGTGTTTAAATATCCTCTTCAAGCACGCAATAAAAACGCACACAGAGAATTAAAATGAAGAGGACAATCATTTGTGTTCCTCTGCAAAGTCGAAAAGAAACTTTATGTACAATTGGTACGCGTAACCTTGAAACGCCAGTTTAAATAAACTGTTTTAGTTTAAACTCTCTGGGAAACGGAACTACTTCTTTAAGACTTGCAAAAACATAAACAATGCCAAAGCATACTTTCCCTTTCCAGACTTTTTTTTTTGTTCACGGTAAAATTAAGCGACACTTAATATTTACCCTGAGTTTTTTCAGCTGAGTTTCGCTTAGAACTCGCCCATTTCTTAAAAAGCTCGTATTTGTTTTTACATGGACAGTGTCTCCTACACTGATCCATGAGTCTGCCAAATTCTCAAGTTCAATGAGACAAATACCAACAAAGTCTCGAAAGTCAGTTGATCGCTATCATGCGAACCCTTCAGAGGAGCAACCATTCGACCAGATATGCCTCAAAGTTCGCTCGAAAGACATCGTTCGCAAGCTAATTTCAGTGAATACGTTCAGAAGTACCGTCAATACCTATTTAAGCGATACATTCGGCCCGTGGCTCTTGCTTGACCAAAAACACGTGTACGGAGCCCGTCAACGCTTTTGTGGAGGAAATCGTCTGTAGTTCAAACTCTGATTATTGGCTATTCCAAAGTACGAGTCCAGCACAAAATTTGCCTTCATCCCACGAATTCGTTTTTAATTTTCCAGGAAAATAAAACTAATTTTATCAGAAAGTGATGTAGGTCTTAAAGGGCCACTCTCCACCAGGATAATGCGGTGGTGTGCGAAGACTGCCTTAAATGATGAAGTTTAGATTTTCAGTTCAGGTTTGTCAAAGTAGCCACGACTCAACAAAAATTCGTATTGAGAAAACATGAAAACATGAAATCAAGCTTAACGTCATTTCTCTTATTAGTAGTTTTTCTCTTATTTTTTTGCGCAGTGCAACTAGTGCAGTTTGAATTAGATAAACACTATTAATTCAGCTTTTAAAGACCGTTATTTAACTATGTGTTACACGAAATAATTGATTGAAAATCTGGCTTTTGCAGTGAGAAGTGTAGTTCTTCTCGATCTTCAAAGGATTTTACGGGGGAATGATTTAGCGCGATTAAATAAAATTTTAAGTTTGATCATAGTTAGTAGAGGAGACCTCTACTAACTATGGTTTGATAAAATTCGCCGATTCGACAGTGCCGTCACACAACATAACAGTTTAGCAAAATGTTGCGAAGATCAGTTAAATCTGAGCAGTTTTTGAATGCGTTTTTCTCACACTGTTTGAAAGATACAATATGGTGTGATTATTAACTTAACTGATAGCTTCTCAAAATATATATTTCCATATCTCCTTTGTTCCAAATTAAGCTTTCCTAGCAATGTTGGAAAGTATACATTCTGGAAATAAAGAACAAAATCATATTTTGCAAGTCCACCAGTCTTTTTACGTAAACTGATCCTATAAAGGAAGGGTTGGGGAGAAAAGTACTTTTGAAAATGAATAACTGAGAATAATCATACTAAAACTTTCAGAACAAAAAGACGGATAAATTCCTAACTGAATCAGAGTACCGTAGTATAAGTGACATGTTTCATCTCGACGTATTCCGAAGACATTTTGCAAAACTTGCACAGTCAAAAACACTTCTAAGAGAACTGACTTGTAACAGAAAATATGATTATGTCATTTCTTCAAATGAAGTATGTAAACCAATTCCAGTAACATTTTCTAAATTCGGTTGGGCAAAGATTCGTACAGAAAAACTTCCCATTCAAGATATTATGATAAAGTTATGTAAAAAAAATACATTTCTAGGCGAGTAAGGAGACTTGTTTCAACTCTTTCCCAATTGCTTCACTTCTGAAAGCCACTGTAACTGATTAGTATCCTTCTTTGAGGGATTCCTAAGTGGAAAAGAAGGGTGACGAGGCTTCCTTTGAAGTCTAAAAAATTAGGTTTCAAAGACTTGTTTTGTCTCGCTAAGCTTTAGCTAGAAAATTTTTATTGAAAGCAGACTCAGTTAATTTGCACCATGACGGCTGATCGAGAGAAAACGATTGCTGATGGGTGGTATTCCCACATAAAGTTTCAATTATTTCAAATCACTGTGGGGCTACTTCTGAATCCAGGCAGTGTATTACCATCTTCGATTCCCAAAGGCTGAAAACTGAAGCAAATTCCATCACAATACTGTAAAGCAACGTGACAATCTAAAAATCTAATTTTCTTCTACATTTCATAATTTTTTGAAATTGTGTATAATATGTAATCATTGTTATCATGTCCGAGTCTTTACTTGTACGAGTGGTTTACTGGGCTTGTAAGAGACCACTTGGAGTGTGTCTTTATGGGAAGTAGTTGAATGCTCTATTTTTGATGTAGTTTGATTGTTTGTATGTGATTTTTTGCAGTAACCTACAAAAGAATTAAGCGGGAAGATGTTGCATAGAGGAATCAAATCTCATGGTGAGATTTTCCCTTGCCAGTGTATGGGGCCATGAGATTAGCAAGGAGTGAAGGAGTCTTGTTTCATTTTTTAAGAATCAGGTAGTACTTAGCGTTTTAATTTTTCTTTCATATGCAAAAATATATATAAATCTAGTATATAAATCTAATATGATTAGATTTGCACAAACAAACTCGATATGTTGCAAGATTGACAGTCAAGTTCATGCGTTGATAGGGCTCAGTTAGTGGTTGGGGTTAGGGGCATACCCCGCCATCAAGCCAGACTTGCCGATAAAAATGCGGAGCGCTTAACGTCAAGGGTAGTGCCCTGCATGCAGCCCAGCCACTAACCCATCCAAGGATGGGTTGTAAATGGCTCTGTGTGGAAAGCTCTAAGGGGTGGGGAGGGTATGTTATGGGACCCCTTTTCTAACTGACAGTTTTCTTTGAGGCTGGATTGGACTTGTGGTTGAGTGTCAAAAGCATGCCTTTGAGGGAGAGAGTGCTTTATTGACATTGCAAAAACCTGATGTCCAGGTTTTCACCTTAAGGCGGGCATCACCATAGTGACTCTGCCTACGCTTTAAATGAAAAGTCTTTTCGTTACTGCATTACTCCATCGGCTAACTGAATAGAAAATTCGTGAAAGATTTGACAGATTACACTGACTGACGTGTCGTCGGTGTCGATGATTATTTGACGTTTGCCAGTAAACGCGGATAATTCTATTACTGTAAACAGAATAATTACTATTGGTCAGTTAGTTGCAGCAAATCGATGAAAACGGCTTATTAAGATTGGTCTGATGAAGGTAGAAATTCTCTCAACGAAGCATAAGGATGGAGTATGTATTCAAGTAAGGAGTAATTGTAGGGAATGTCACAGGCGTTTCAAGGGTTGATAGGATGGGGTTTGCAATATTCCTCAATTATTGTCGAGACTCACTGAAATCAGGGGGGTACTCAAGACAGTTAAACGGCGGCTATGAAAATTTGTGCAGTCATCTTTTCGTATTATCTCGCCATTGATGCTGATGCTAATAAGAGAAAGAAAGTTTGCAAATAAATAATGGGCATGTTGTCAGATCTTGAGGACTTGATAAAAAAGAAATAGGACTGCTGTACAGTGGGTAAGGTTTAGAAGATTGTTTCTATCGTTTACTTTAAATTTTCATCATGGCTTTCAGGTTGTCCGAAGGTTTGGAATTTCAGTTGGATAAAAATTGATCGCTGAAATAATAGTTTGGAATATCTGCATTTATCTACTTTTTATCACAACTCAATTTCTCTTCTGAAATACAACAATCTTTTCCAGAATACATCGAAATTTTCTGTTACACAAAAGCAAGCTAAAACAAACCAAAATTAAGAGAATCACAACAAAATTTCAAAGTACTGGTGACTAAGCCTGTCGCGGACCGGAACCTGGGACTAGCTCTGACCACATACTGCTAATTAGGGCGCCATTTTTGTACCGTTCTTGTTGAGGAACTGAGCTAAATTGGCTTCTTCAAGTTCAGTAAGCGATCATCCAGAAGAAGAAAGCATAATTTCATATTAGTTTCAAGAGGATATACGTTTTAAGGTATCACTGAATTTTTAGCGAAGTGTCATGGCATCACGACGTGTGTACGAACATTGAAAAATACAGTTTGTAGGTTGAAGCATTTTAACTTTCAGGAGAAGATTGCCATCTTTTGACATGGATGTTGTCCAAGAACAAATCATGAATGAGCTTAGAGGCCCAGGATTTCCAATACTTGGTTGTATTGATGGATGGAGTCGAAAATAATGTGGCTAACAGTTACAAGGTCGAACAACCATCCAGAAATTATTTTCAGGTTTTATTTGAATTGTGTTGCAGGGTTAGAAGGCTGTCCAGTGAAACTGGGGACTGATTGTGGAACAGAAAATGGTGTAATGGCAGCTATGCAATGTACATTTCAACAAGATGCAGAAGCACAAAAGTATGGTTCATCTCCGGTGAAACAAAGGATTGAGGGCTAGTGGGTATTTTACAGAAGAAATAGTTGTTCAGTGTAAAGCATGTAGGAAGTGGCTAGTGCATGAACGAAGTGCTTGAGTGCTCAAACCACTTCTTAAGTGCTTTACAAAAGAACAGAACACTGTCATGGCTTCTCTATTTGTTTTATAAGAAAGAATAGATTAACCATTTAACTCACCTGAGTGGCCCAGACAAAAATTCTCCTTACAATATCAACACAATATCAACCAGACAAGTGATGAGAATAAAGAAAACTATCAATTTGGGGATAATTAGTTGATCCAATACTAAATTCTCTGAAATAACATTATAAGAATTGTATGGTTGACTACAAGAAGAATTACAAATTTAGTCTGGGAGTTAAAGGCATTGCTTTCAATTTTCCAAAAAGAAAAATTAAGGTGCTAAATTATGACTGGTCCTTGAGTCAGTTTTTGTTTTGTTTTGGAGGAGATCACATTAAGCTGTCCTAGATATAATGCAGCTAGTCAAAATGCTTTCCTAGTATTAATACAGTAAAGATATTGTGGCACTTTATATGGCACTTTTTATAAACAAGGATGTCCACTGAAAGTTTCTTAAGTTGATGGCCAAGCCTTTTGTGACTTTGAGACAAGAGTGACTCTTAAATGTAGTGCGCATTTTGATTGAGTATTTAAAGTAAAGTGGTTATTTTACAGAAGAAACAGTTCTTGTAAAGCATGTAGGAAATGGCTAGAGCATAAAAGAAGAGCTTGAGCGCTCAAGCTGCTTCTTAACCCTTTAACTCCCAAGATCTCACTATTAATTCTCCTTACTGCCTGCCATTCAGTTCTTGTGATGTTAGTTTTGAGAATTTGGTATTGTATCAACTTGTAATCCACTAATTATTATTTTTCTTTATTCTCATCATATGTCTGCTTGATATTGTTGTGATATTGTAGTGATATACTGTCTTGGTCACTCATGGGAGTTAAAGGGTTAAGTGCTTTACAACAGAACAGAGTAAGTTGTCAAGGCTTCTCTGTTTGTTTTGTAATAAAGAATCCATTAAATTCCCTAAACATTACTTTCAATTTTCAAAACAAACTTTAGGCGATAAATTATGACTGGTCCTTAAAGGGGGGCTTTTTTTTTTTTTTTTTTTTTCGTCCTCCATCTAATTTTGCCCACTCCAGTTTGTTTCACAGTGCCTCTGAGTCAGTTTTTGTTTTGTTTTGGAGGAGATCACATTAAGCCATCCTAGATGTAGGATGTGACTCCCCTCCCCCATATATACATGAATAATTTGTTTGGCAGTCAAGAACTTCTTAAGTTGGTGATTATTTCCTTTACTCTTGTGATTTTCCTGTTTGATTCACGGTTGATAGAGTAGGGAGAAATTAGATGCTGGTCAGCTCTTAGTGGTTATAGGGTTGTCACCACTGGGTTAAGTATATAATCTGACCAGGTGAGAGATTGGCACAAGTTTGCTGAACCACTCGTAGAGCAAATTAGAATGATACCAATGCAATAGATACTAAGTTGAAAATTACTTATCTCGCAGGACACCATTTGTTGCATGACATTCCAAATAACTACTGCACAGGAGTCAGCAGACATGACACACTGATGCTCTCTTCTCAGTGGCAGCCCAAGCAAGGCCTATACCCTGACATTGGGCAATAAAGATCTGTCTGTTTACTATTCTATGAATGGGGAAGAGTTTAGAGACGACAAACAGGTAATGCAAACATGTTGAGGGCTCCAAAATGCCATTAACTAATAGAATGTTCACTCTTTATCGCCTAGGAAGGAGAGGGGGGTGGGATGGTTTTGGTTGTGTTCAATAAAATTTGCCTGATTCTCTCCACCGCAAGGGCTCTGTAATATTGTAATAACCCCTCCCCCCTCCCACTGGCAGTCAATTTTCTAGAGTCTCCCCTTTCTTCTATGTTATACTCTGAACCCCTTTCTGTTACCACTGAAAACTGTGTGATTCCCCCCAAAATCTTCTGACACCCCCATCCCTCAGGAGATAAAAAGGGAGTTGCTCCTTATGGGGGTGCTGTTTTTTAAGTTTGATATTCTTTCTAATTTTTCCCACTCCTGTTTGTTTCACAATGCTTTTTTTGAGTCAGTTTTTGTTCTAGAAGAGATCATGTTAAGCAACCCTAGCTAGATATGCTGCAGTTAGTCAAAATGCTTTCCTAGTCTCAATACAGAGAGGATATTGTGTCACTTTATATGGCACTTTTTAAAAACAAGAATGTCTCCTGAATTTTTTTTAAGTTCATGGCTCAGCTGTTTGTGACTTTGAGACAAGAGTGACTCTTAAATGTAGCGTGCATTTTGATTAAGTGATTACAATTAAGGACAATCATGGTGACTAAATAATAACTCTAAATTAAAACAAAAACAAAGGCTACTTTCAAAAAGCAGGAAGGCTTGAGTGATTAACCTTCTACACCCTAATATCATTATGCACATTTTCCATACGGTTCTATATATACAAGAATAATTTGTTTGGCAATAAAGAGCTTCTTCAGTTAGTGATTATTTCCTTTACTCTTGTGACCTTCCTGTTTGATTCACGGTTAATAGAGTAGGGAGAAATTAGATGCTGGTCAGCTCTAAGTGGTTAAAGGGTTGTCACCATTGGGTTAAGTACAGCATCTGACCAGGTGAGAGATTGGTGCAAGTTTTCAGAACCACTCATAGAGCAAAGAGAAGCAATACCAATGCAATAGATACTAACATGAAAATTTCCTTATCTCACAGGACACCTTTAGTTAGGATTCAAATGCATAGTCTTCCAGGTCCTCAGTCTCCTGAAAATGGAGTCACAAGATTGGATCTCTGGGAGACCCTGTTACCAACCCACTGGAGCACATCCTTTACCAAGATCTGCCTTACCATGAAGGTCGATAGACAAGGAAACCTTGAATAAGTCGTGGAAACATTACGTGTAAATTGTTTGGAAGATAATTAAATTCCTCTTTACAAAAACATACAGTTTTACATGTTAACATAGGCAGCCAATGGGTAACTTTCCAATAGAGTTGACTGCTGGGGTGATGGGTGATAAGTCAGAATTCAAATTTTGGCTATCATTTGACCTGCACCATTCCTTAACTTCACTTTTTCCATAAAAGCGTACACTTTTTATGGAAGATTTTTAACATAAAATTTGCATGAATGTGCTGCAGGTTGTGAATAAGTTTCACACTGCATTCCTTAATAATAAGATCTTTTGACAGGGAGCCCACGTCACAAAGTGTGGTTTTCAGTGAGGCCCTGCATAAATCTAACGTAAGGATAACAGAAAATATAAATATGGTTATCAAGAAT